AATGTCAGCGAAGTCTCATTGTTCACAAAATGAAAGATCCAAGTGGTATATAAAAAGAGAAAAAAACAATGTACAAAAATACAGCAACACAAATGCTAAGTAAAAAGCACTCCCAGAACTTGAATTTTAGATATCTCGCATGCCTACGCATTCGCTATTGAGTCTGAATGAAGGGGTTGAACGTAGTTTCCATCTCATGAGAAGTCATAAAACGAAGGACGTCTTTGCGAAGGTGAGGGGAGAACGGCCGCTGCTTTGGTTCAGCGGTGCCAACTACCGCTCACTAGTTGATGGGCAGCGACATCACTGTTGTGGGGGGTACAAGCGGGCAGATGGCGCATTCGTTTGGTGGAGAGGGGATCCTATTGAGGCCACTGAACGTTTGGCTGTTGATTTTCTGTCTACTCCCTCGGCCCTGTAAACGGTGGCATGGCGGTTCTGCTATTTTTGATGATTCACCAGAGGTGTTCCCTCACCATCTCCCCGGCCAGTGGGGCGTTTATGCCCCGAACTAATTGTATTCAGGGAATGCTATTGGTTTTTTCACCACCCCACGACCTGCCCTCATCTGACAGACGGACCGCAACGGCAGCAGCGGTACTGCGACCTTTGCTCCTAAGGGTATGATTGGTCACTGGATGCTGTAACCCACTTGTACAGAAACATTGTTAACTTTTGTTAAATCAGATCTTCCTCTTAGCAACACTGCTCCTCTTCTTAGCAACACTGCTCTACCAGAGCAGGTAAGCTGAAGAGAAGCGTTCCTTCATCGTTTTAGTTGTCGCAGGAACAACGGCTAGGGGTGAAAGAAGCGATAGGGTCCTAAACTGTCTCCGTGATACTCAGCTGAATGGACCCCAGTCGACCATCGAAGGACTTTCGCGGCGTTGGAGACAGCGGCTGAAAGAGTAGTTATGAGTATTGGTCACAAAGTACGAAGAGCTAGTTGTGAAACTTACGCTAGTGACATCTAATACGTCTCGTGAAGACACTGAGCTCCTCCAACCAGTTCGACCTTCAAATAAATGGTTTATTTATTTATTTATTTATTTATTTATTTATTTATTCATCATGCATGCATAGGTGCGCTACAATGTCAGCGAAGTCTCATTGTTCACACAAAATGAAAGATCCAAGTGGTATATAAAAAGAGAAAAAACATGTACAGAAATACAGGCAACGACAAAATCTAAGTAAAAAGGCACTCCAGAACTTGAATTTTAGATATCTCGCATGCCTACCAAACTCGGTACGTCAGCCTTCTTCAATCTACTTCTGAAGGCATATATTTTAGGCGCCTTTTTCCTTTTTTTTAGGCGCATGTCTGAAGGGAGGAACTGGAGCCGTCTCACTCGTCGGAAAAACAGTGGGTCAAAAACCTGAGTTCGGTGCCTTACAATTCAGTACATTGCAAGGAGAGCGAAAAGATGCGGCCATTTGTCGGCCAGAGCAATTAGTACTTACTGGGTTTTAATCTTAGCTCTCCTTTCAGTATCTTGGAATGGAACACAATATCATTAAACACCCTTCTGTACATTAATGATTCAAGATGATGTAAGCGTTCCCTATAACTCTGTAAGCTGCCTGGGTATGCAGGGTTGGGATAACACCGGTACATCAAAACTCTGGTAAAAGTTTGCTGGACCTTTTCGATTTTTGCCTGAAGTTTCCTGGTGTGAGGACTCCATATTTGCGAACCATATTCAAGTATGGGGACAACACAAGCTTTGTAGAGCTTCAGCAGAATCGAAGAATCGTTTTTTCGAATCTTCATATGGCAAAAAGGTGGTGAAAGCTTTCGAAAAATTCACAAGTATCCCCCAAGCAGTAGCCCGCTCCATAATGTTACATACAGACTGGGTTAGCGCCGGGTGCACACATTTATGCTTACCAGTCGGATCGCCCGCCGAAGGCGTGCGATCCTCCTTCCGCGTGTGAAGTGGGTATCGCGCCAGAGTTTACCTGTGAGGGCCAGTCGGATCGCCCGGCTTCGCCGTTTGTCAAAAAAATTTTTTTCAAAAATTATCAAACTTTACCGTTTCATCCCTAGTATATACCCCCCCCCCCCCTCGCCTAGAAGGGGCCTTGGAAGGATTATATATAACGTTCTCTACATTGGTGAGAATTCCCTGTGAAAGAAGTTCTGGCTTTGTAGCAGCTCTTTGGTTGTGGAAGAGATTCAGATAGATCAATTATTTGGAGGGAATGTTACCCAATGGGCGGACAGCCGCCCACCGCGGGTGCGAAATTTCTGTGAGGACAGTTTCGCTTAAGGCTTTGAAAATCTGTTGGAGAGGACGGTATACATGTGCATTAGTTAGTGGTTGTATGTTATTGGGACGATCTTATAACAGTGAGAATTTCCACTGTGGAGTCAACTCACTGTGAGGATGCCTCGCTCGTTTGAACAGCGAATCCGCCCAAAACCATAAATTTGAGGAATGGTAACCAATTGCTAAGGGACACGCTCCGCCTGCTGTAGGTGGGTCCTGGCAGACATCTAGTACATCCAGCGTACATAAGATCTTCTTCACGGAAGTTTGCCCTTTCTCTAGAGCGCTTTCAAGTGTTTCGGAATTGATGAATTTTTTGGAGCGAGCGCTGCCCCTGTCGCTGTACACCTTCCCCGCGCGGGTGACTCTGCCTTATTTCAATGGCCGACCCCTTTCTCACCTTCGTCTATTTTCCAATCCCTTTACTCACCTCTAGGCCTTTGAGGATTTTTGTGCTCGGCCTCGGCGGACCGCCCACTACTTTCCTTATTGGTCCGACAAACACACAGACAACTTCTCATTTATATACTATAGAGTATGATCATTATCATAAACGCCATATATTTTTATGTCGTCCGCATCTATTTTAATTTTGACCAGCGGGTGAGTGTCGAAATAACGGAGTAAATCGTAGGTGTACGTCAAGAAAAATGCACGTCAAGACAAGGGTGACAATACAACTTTTGGAGCTCCACAGTACAAGAAAAACTGTGTGAGAAACTATCACCCACTCTAACGCACATATGCCTATCTTCCAATAGGAACGAATCCAGCTAAGGATGGGGCCTTCGATTCCCAACTGCCACAACTTGTGAAGAAGCTTTTCGTGATTTACTTTATCGAAAGCTTTGGACAAATCAAAATTTATAAGTAGCATAGTTTGGAGGCCTCATGGACACATTCCGTGATAATCGGATAGGCGCAGAATCAGACAAAGACTCATAACCAGTGTGGCTTCCTTAGCGATATGTCCCAGTTCCCCGCCGTACTAAAACGAAGAGCATATAAGGGCCGTCAGTCTAAGCATCTTATTTCGCCTATATCCCAATGGAGAAATTTCATTCAAACTCGGGAAGTTCAAGCAATAAGGAGAGCCTTTTCCGAGCGCTGCCTTAAGGATGGTCGGCCTCAGCCTGGTGTTCTTGCAATTGGAAATAATGTTCTTCCACCAGTCACAGCTGTATCTTACACTTTATATGCTGGAGGTGGGAGGGGGTGACCACGTACCAGCAGCCACGCCCTCTCTGTCTTCGGGATGTGGAGAGCACACTACCTATGTTATAACGTAAATGACAAGCTAAAAAGGTAACAGGTCTACGGAACTGGGTTGAATTTGTAGATGCAAGAGTATGTGAACCATTCAAGATCCATTCCGCAACAATCGTGTATGCGGAGGAGTGGGCGGTCCTGACAACTATCACACCGCGGTTCTGACAAGTACCGCACCTTCTTTAGTGGTCCGCCTCCGTCCTAATCGTATTATGAATTAGGAAGCACCAATGAGGAGGAGTACCTGTCATAGTGGCTACCTGTCGCCGCATAGTCGATTGTCACGGAGGGTATCCACGACCCAAAGAACTTGAGCAATGAGTTAACACACTGGCTACAAGGCAACTTTTCGCGTGTCTGCCGCGTGGGACAAATTTTCCCTATTCCCTTTCCCTAAGGCTGCGTTTATACTTTGCGGCAGCGTAGCGTAGCGTAGCGGGCAGGTAGCGTATGCGCTTCGCAGCGTATCGCCAGCGGCAAGTGCGGGGAGAGGATGCATATCGATGCTAGCGCGTTCCCAGCGTCACCAGCGTACGCTAGCGTTACGCCAGCGTTTCTCCAGCGTTTCACCAGCGTTTTGCTAGCGTTTGCAGGGGAGTAGAGACTATGGGAGAGCTGGAGGGTACAAAACACATCGATTGCGCGTCTCTCACTCGCCCTCAGTCTCTACAATACACATCGATTCCGCGTCTCTGACGGCCACATAGTCTCTACTCCCCTGCCGCTGCAAACGCCAGCAAAACGCTGGTGAAACGCTGGAGAAACGCTGGCGTACGCTAGCGTTACGCTGGTGACGCTGGGAACGCTAGATCGATATGCATCCTCTCCCCGGCACTGCCGCTGGCGTACGCTGGAAGCGCTACGCTACGCTGCCGCAAAGTATAAACGCAGCCTAAGCAGTTTTTCCCTATTTTCGAAGAATGCGCATAAATGCTAGGGCGTTTATACACCAAAACAATTGAAGAAGGTCAGAATTCATTGCAGAAGCTAGTAAGGCTTCGCTATTTTTGTTTACTTTCAAGATAAACCCTAAATTTCATGGAATACTCCCGCCTCATTCACGTGGAGCGTGGGAACAAGGTCGCAAAAAAGGAATATTTTCGCGCCAGAGGTGGTAAATTGGATTCGATTCAGATCTGCTATTGTTGAAAGTTACCTTATCACATTAGCTATCTGCATGTGGAGCTTCAGTTCTATATATCCAAAAATTATTTTCCTAAGGAAATCACTTTTGCCTCCTCGGTAAAATACTCTCAACGACATAACTGCATGGTATACAGCTACTCTATATTCTACAATACCTTCCTGGATAATATGTAGCTGTTGAAAATTGAAACGCATTCAAACTGGTTTTTTACCCATGCCGCATCCCAGCAGTGGGACGCAATGTCCCACGCGGCAAAAAAGGTGCGTCCCAGCATTGGGAAGCAATGTACGTGTTAAAATTAACAACGAACCTGAGGAGTTGTTTTGGACCACATGTGCCCTCTTGCTTCGAACCGATCGATGCTCAACCGTATCGCTGAAGTAACGTGTGAATTCTGGTGGGATCGGCCTTGGCACTGGTTTCCAACCAAAAAGACCTAAATGAAATCAGTGGAACTAGTGGAATCAGTGGAGTGAAGGGCAATGAACAAAATTTGGTTTTGGGCCATTTCACTCTTTCCAGCGAAGTTATTGGGGCACAATTTTGCTAAAGTGATGACTGGAACCAATCGGAGTAAAGACATTACTTACCATAAATTCTTTTATAAACGCTTGCATGAAACGTCCACATGGCATAACGAATCTCGACTAAGCGACTGGCATAAATGAAGGCGTCAGCAATCAGTTTTAACACATTGAGCAAATGACTTAGGATTCTGAAATGCAATTTGAAATAACTACTCAAATTAATAGTACAGGGTAACTGAAAATCTAAAAAAATGTGAAACTTCCGTACCGTAAATACATGGTCGCCCGCAAAGGCAATTGAAATAGGCAGCTATCACAAATCAGAACAAACAGTACGGTTGTGGGTAACCAGCCTGCAAAATTATAGCGCAATGTAAAAAAAATAAAAAAAGCACAATATAATACCAAATGTAAGATGCCCCCGCAAAGTAAAAAAAAAGAAGTAGACAGGAAATCATAGAAGGGCGAACCGTATAATAAAGTGTACAGCGCCAAGGGGACGCGCAGCTGATTTTGTCGCAGACAGTAGGGGCGGGTCAGGAGACATAGAAAAGCCCACCGGCGGTTTTTCTACCACCGTTTGTTTCCTCCCTGAACCGATCCCTGTTGGCTGGAGACATTAAGGTGGGGGGACTACTTATTATATACCTTCTGACGCTGCCCCGTCACACTGCGACGACATCACCCCATATATACAATTCGCTTTGTCTGTTTGTTT